GGGTGTTGACAGCAGCGGGCCGCCGGGGCAGGATGTGCTTAATTGCCTCCGTCTGCTTCTGTGCGGTGGAGAACTGCTAGGCAAAGCTCTCCACCGTTTCGCCGAAGAGGCCGGCCTGGGAGATCGGGGAATCCAGGAAGCGGTGTTTGTCGGACTCCCTCATATCCGCTAGTTTAAGCTAAAGGTGCCATTCCTGGACCACCAGGGTGGACATCGTCTGACCCAAGGACCGCACAGTGACTTTCGTTGCCCGCAGGGCAAGGTCCGTCGCCGTGCGCAGCTCCTGCATCACACCTGGGTCAGAACTACCCTCGTGCAGCTGCTTCAACGCCTTGGCCTGGTAAGACTTGCAGGAGGACCATGGCAGAGGCGGCATGTCCAGCAGCTCTGTAAGCCTTGGCCGTTAGTGCGGACGAGAACTTACATGCTCTGGACGGGAGGCGTGGATTACCCTGCCAGGTGGCGGCGCTCTGCGGGCAAAGCTGCATCGCAATAGCGCGCTCGACTGGGGGGATCTCCACATACCCCTTAGCCGCCCCGCCATCGAGGGCAGTGAGGACGGAATAAGCACTAGCAGCTCTGTTTCGGGCAGAAAAAGGTGCCCTCTTCATGCACCCCCGGGAAGAATGGAACCGGAGGTGACTGCCGGGGATCAGCGTGCGGCACCCCCAGGAACCAATCATCCAGTCTCGAGCGGTTGGGAGATGGAGGGGGTTTCCACTGCAACCCGATGCTCTCGGCGGCCCGGGAAAGCATAGCGGTCAGCTCTGGATCTGACTTGGGCAATGCCACTCTTCCTGACGGAGGCAACACAGCCGATTCTTCATCTCCAGAGCCTAGCTCGTCCCCACGATGCAGTTATCGACATCCTGTCATCTGCCAGCGCTCCGAACGAGATGCTGGGCCCCGCCCCTGGGGACTCAGCCTCCTCATCACGGAACACCAGAGTGTGCGATGTGCTAGAGGAGTGAGGGGCCCGCGGAGACGCACTCGACGGAGAAGCCCTCACTGTAATCCTCAGATCGCCCTGGCCACATGCCGAAGTAGTCCTCCGCTGCTGAGAGACAGAGGAACTAGAACGGGGCATGGGGAGGGGGACTCCCCCTCGTTTGATGAAAAGGAGCCTCGATCACAACATCGCGATGGTCATGTTCCTGCAATAAGAACATGAGTCATCCACAAGCGCTGCCTCAGCGTGCTCAAAGCCCAGGCACGAGATGCAGCGATCATGACCATCAGATGGAGCCAGGAACCGACCACATCCAGAAACACACGAGTGGAAGGCCATCTTTAAAAAGACGCCGCGTCACTCGTGGAGCTCTTTAAGATTTGCTCTTTTAGAAAAAAAAGTGCTGAAGCGCCCAGGGGAGGTCACAGCGTGACCGCAGTTTAATGAGCTGCAGCACGCCATCCAAACTGGAAGAAAGCAGCAGCACTGGACCAGAAAAACTGCCGCTGACGCGCCGTAACACCAACACTCTCGAATGCTGTCTGTAGACACTCTCGTTCAGTGACTGCACAAGCAGAAAGGCTCGGCTCCGAAGCGAAAAGCTGAATGTGCGACTGCACGCGCTCTCCTTATATACCCGCGCTGCGGGGGGGGGTGTGCGATGCAAAGCTCGCACGGCAACATTCATTGGCTTGTTTTGTTAACACTCGAAGGTGATTGGGCTCTCTGGCGAGATCCCAATTCGACAGTCACTGCTGACATAACGTCGAACGTGACTGACTGAAAGGGAACAAGGTTTAATTACTCTTATCCCTAAACCAAGTAAACATATAGATAACCTTCGCCCCATCACTCTACTTAATTGTGATTATAAAATTTTAGCTCATATATTTTCCAATAGACTCAAGAATAAATTAAACCAGGTAATTAGTGAATCGCAGTCTGGTTTCCTAAAAGGCAGATCAATACATAATAACATCAGATTAATTCTAGATATTTTAGACTATCGTGAATGGATTGAGATGGTCCCAAAGATTTAATATTTTTCGAGGAATAAGACAAGGATGTCCCATTTCCCCTCTCCTATTTATCTTAGCAGTAGAAATGCTTGCTATCTTGATAGATAAAAACAGCAACTTTGATTAATTGAATGTATTTGGAAGACAAATTGGTATTAGCCAATTAGCTGATGATACAGTGATCTTTTTAAGGGACCAATATCAAATTGATAAAGTTATCCAATTAATTCATCTCTTCTCCAAGGCATCAGGCTTATACTTAAACGTACATAAATGTGAGTTAATTGAAATTCATGATAGTGAATTAGACTCTTTATGTAATATACCAATCAAGAAATCAGTAAAATACTTGGGGATAACTATTACTAGAGATGGCAATCAAAACATCAAAGAAAATTTTGCAAACAATCTTTTAAAAGCAAAAAATATTCTCAATATTTGGATACAAAGAGATATCTCAATTTATGGAAGAATCTTGTTAACTAAAATGGAATTACTTTCTAGGCAGTGTTGGGGAAAGTTACTTTTAAAAGTAATGCATTACAATATTGCGTTACTCCTTAAAGAAGTAACTAATTACGTTACTTAGTTACTTTTTATGGAAAGTAATGTGTTACATACCTTTTGCGTTACTTTCGCGTTACTTTTTAAATATGAGCAGGGCTTGATTGTTTTTAATATAAGAAGTTCTATTTATAGCAAATGTAAAAGCCCTTTCACACCAAAAAGTGTAATAAATAAACCTCAGGCTGAAGGAAAAGTAAATTCATGTCTGTACAGTAGAACACAGGAGAAGAAACACTCTTCAGCAATAAAAAAACAATGAAGCACAATTGTTAGTTTATCTAAAATAATTTTTCCTTATTAGTATGGTTGAACTGGATCATCAAAGGTAAGCAGCAAAGACATTGGATAATAAAATGTGATTAGATACATTTGTGTTATTTAACCTATTTAATTATTGCAGGTTTGTGT